TATTATCAATTAATAATAAATACATATATATATTATATATATTAATTTACATATTTATATTATTTATAAACTTATAGGATATTGAAATGAATAAATAAGAATTAAAAATAATATTACAGATATAACAGAAATTATAGACAAAAACCAAAATATAATTTAAAACAGATGGTACATTTCGATATATTAATGATCCAGCATGTTTATATTCAGCAGACAAATTTGTTTTTATAACATTTAAAAAATATATTAATTTACATAGTAAAAAATTGTACTTTTTCATTTATATAATTAATTGTATGATAAATATTTCAGCTTAACAGAACGATAAAAAAGATCTCTAAACCGCATGCATATAAAATAGTTTTATTAATGCAAACGCATCGAGTATCATTAATGCATTTAAATATACATAATTAAAATATAAAATATGATACGTATAAAAAAATATTTACCGAACAGATAGATTGATATATACACAGATATAGATATATATATCATTATTATTGTTTTTTATTAAATAAGTCTTATGGTACTAAATTGTGTCAAGATACTTTATTTGAGATTCAATTTGGTGAGAGCGTATGTCTAGCTTGCTTTGAATTATTCTATTTTGTTGTTCCACTTTTTCCCATTCTCTTGCCATTATCGAATCAATCTAGAATAGATTGTTTTTATATTAACCATTGTTTTTATATTAAACAAAAAATTATCAATACTTAATTATTAATAAATATTTGTTCTCGCGTTATAAGAATCTGATGCAACTTAATTTCAGTTTTTAATATAATTAAAACTGGATACTATTTTATAGGATACTTTTTTCGCTCAAATCAACAGGCAAAAATTAATATTATCATATATTTCATCCAAAAATAAGCATATATTTATTATATGTATTTTTTTAAATTTCCGAAATTTCTTTTTAAACATTTTCCGAGATATTTAAAAAAATATTGAGAGAAATTTATAAAGTTAATTAATAGGAATTGGATTAATTAAAAAAACATCATGTAAAAGCTTACAAACTTATAAATCGATCTTTCGATCGAACTAAAATGTTTTCTATTTATTAAAAATTACATCTTGGAAATAGTGTATTTTTAGAAATTGTAAACAAATTGGAAA